TCCTACACTACACAATCCTTCATTTCACTCCCGCTTCTCACGCCGTAGCTTCTATTCTCCGTCGTTGGCCGATTACCACCGCTTCATTCTAGAATAGTCCACGCGCTTTGATTTCGCTGTCATTCCGCCGTCGTAGAGACTTTCGCCTTAGGTTCCGTGGTTTGGCGAACTACTCCTAACACTCCAGTCACTCTCGTCCCTCCCGTTGCTCTCGTCCCTCCCGTCACTCTCGTCCCTCCCGTTGCTCTCGTCCCTCCCGTTGCTCTCGTCCCTCCCGTCGTTCCCGCTCCTCCCGTCGCCCTCGTCGGGTCCCCCCTCCCGTCCCTCCGGTCGCGTCCGTTCCTCCGGTCGCGTCCGTCCCGCCGGTCGCGTCCGTTCCTCCGGTCGTTCACGACGCGCCCATCGCTCTCTTCCTCCCTCCCTTCCCTACGCGCAGCTTTTCCCCTTCCCTACCCTCTGCTCCCCCTTTTTCCATAAGTGCTTCTTCCCCCTTCCCCGTCTCTCCGTTCCAACCTTCCCATCCCTCCCATTTCCCAATCTCCCGACCCTCTCTCCCCCCTCTCCCGTCCCCTCTTTCCTACCCATCCCTTTTCCGCCTCTCCCGTCTCTCCCTCTCCCTTCCTCTGTTTCCCCTTTGTACTTCCCCCTCACCACTCGTCACCGTTCGCAAACCTAATTTCAAGTTCTGATTTTATCAATAATTGCCATTCTAGGCGCGTGCTTTAATGCCACAAGAGCGCAGCCTGTGTTTTCTTCCACACCCTCGACTCGAACTCCCCCATTCCCACCCGTTTCCACCTGTATAGCCACCTCCAAGTCCAACCCAAAAGCAGTCGTCAAGTTTCGTACGCATTCAAGCGAGTGACACTCAAGCGAATCACGACCTAGGCAGCCACACTAAATCAAGCCGCAGTTGAGTGAGTCACGCCGCCAGCGAGTCGTCGCCGCACGCAGCACGGATGCTCTTTCCCGGCGGGCTCATGCGGGTGGGCGGCCGCCACCTGCGCGGCAGCAAGCTGCTGCCGCTGCTGCAGCGCCGCCTCGCGCTCGCCGTGGGGACAAACCGCTTCAGCCGCCAGGTGCTCGCGCTGGCGGCCGTTCTGTGCGCGCTGCTGGCGCTGAACGTCCTCTTCTATCTCTTCGGCGGCATCTCCATCGAGTTTGTCACCGACGACCCGCTCCCCGACCTCCCCTCGCTCTGGCGCGGTGACGCGCAGGCGCCCCCGCGCGGGCGGCAGTGCGCGGCGTGGCTGGCGGAGGTGGACCCCACGGGCGCGGGGAGCGAGCAGCGCGACTGGCAGCGCCAGCCCGTGGTGGTGGCGGCGGGGGAGAACAGGCGCGTGCAGGGATGCGCCGTCGGCTGCCTCTTCACGCGCGCCCCTCGTGAGCCCCTTTAGCCTCTCCACCCATCCTGACCGCTCTTCACCGTCGTGAGCGCTCTTTGTCCTTGAATAATGACTCTGAAAAACCGCATGTCCAGGCAGGTGAGAGAAAATCCGGGCATGGGAACTAAATCCTGGAAAACGCCGAGATGGGGGAGGGGAGCGGGGAGAGAAAGGGGCCGGTGGAGAGGAAGGGGGACGGGAGGGGGGGAGGGGCTGATCCTCGCCCTTCTCTCCTCTGCCCTCTCCTTTCTCTCCTCTCCCGTCGCCCCTCTCCCCTCTCCAATCTCCCCTCTCCCCTCTTCCTTCGCCCCTCTCCCTTCGCCCCACTTCAAACTCACCTCTCCCATCACCCCTCTCCTCCATCCCCCCTCCGATCTCCCCTCTCCCCCATCCCCCCCTCACCTCTCCCGTCTCCCCGTCTCCCCTCTCCCCCCTCCCCTCTTCCCTCTCCCCTCTCCCCTCTCAGCTCCCATGTGACCCACTTCAAACTCCACCATCCCCCCTCCCTTCACCCCTCCTCTTTCCTCTCCCCTCGCCCCACTCAGCGGACCACGACACCTGCGACGCCGCTGTGGTGGCAGCGGGAAGGGGAGGGGTGGGGGGGGGGGGGGGGGGGGGGGGGGGGGGGGGGGGGTGCCGTGACAAGCAGCCTCCTCAGCTCCCATGTGACCCTCTTCAAACTCCAACCTCCCCCCTCCTTCCACCCCTTCCCTCTCCTCTCCCTTCGCCCCTTACCTTTCCTCTCCCCTCTCCCCCCTCCCCTCGCCACTCAGCGGATCACGACACCTGCGATGCCGCTGTGGTAGCCCCACCAGCAGCAGAAGCAGGGGAGGCGGGCAGTGGTGCGGAGGAGGGGGAGGGGGGAGGGCAGGCAGCGCCGCCGGGGGTGGCGGAGGAGGGGGCGGGGGCGTGTGGGTACGCGGTGGTGTGGCAGCGCGGGCCAAGGGGCGCCGTGGTCATGCCCAACGCCTCCAGAGTCGTGGCCGTCACCAGCAGCCTCAGCTCCGACGTGCCCCTTGGTACGTACCTCCCATGTCGTGCCATGTGCCCCTGGGTAGGCGCTGATGCCGTGCCATGCGTAGTGGTGCGCTGTTTGCTTGCGGCCAGGATGCCATGTAATGCCAGCCAGGTCCCCCATTCCATGATGCCATGTAATGCCAGCCAGGTTCCCCATTCCATGATGCCATGTAATGTGCCCCCTGCCATCGTGCCATGTAATTTGACGCATGTGACAAGCCATGTGCCCTGTGTCAGTGTATCAAACAACGTTTTGTTCAAAATTTGTCCGTAAAATACCGTATCGTAAAGAAATATTAAGAATAAAACGATTTTAACAGAATACTTCATTTTTGTGCAAACAAACCATCGTTTTTTTCAATAAAATCATCAAAACTGCTGCTGTAACAAGGGTACGAGGAGATGCTGTTAGAAGTGCTGCTGGTGCTAGAATTGTTCTTTTGTTCAAAACAACATCTTTGAAGTTGAGGCGTTTTTTTTTTTTTTTTTTTTTTTTGTCTAGCAAAAAAACGTCGTTTTTTCCCCAAAAGGTACCGTACATAACCGTCAGAAAAAACCATCGTTTTTTTCTACCTTGATCCTGGTGACTCACTCGGCTCTCCTTGCACTTTCTGCCGTGCGGCATGGCATGGCATGGAATGCAATGGGATGGCATGGTATGGCATGGCATGTTATGGTATGGTGTGCCACGAAATGGCATGGCACGGCACGGCATGGCACGTCATGGCATGGCACGGCACGGCACGGCACGGCACGGCACGGCACGGCACGGCACGGCACGGCACGGCACGGCACGGCATGGCACGGCATGGCATGGCATGGCATGGCATGGCATGCAGGGCAGCCATCATGGAGGGACCATGCGTTCATGGACCCGCCCACACTTAAGCATGCGTCGCCCGCCATCGTGGCTGTGCTCAACCACCCCTGCTCCAGCCTCCAACTCAAGTCAGTCCCTCAGCCATCATCTGATGGACTCCATCGCTCTCCTTTCCTGCCGCCGCCTGCCTGCAGCATTATCATTGCCGCTTCTTGTGTGTCGCCTCTTCGATGGAAGAAACCTCAACTTAATTCAATACACTAAGGAATATCTAGGCGGAAGAGGCATCTCTCTCTCATCTCTCTCCCATCGCTTGCCACCTGTCCTCCCTCCAACCAGGCAGGGGGTGCCTGCAGCTACTCAGCTCATGCCTGCCCGCCACCCACTGGGCCACGCCTCGCCGGCTGAGCTGCATTTCGAGTCGACTCAAAGCACTACCTCCCTCTGTCTTGCTCCTACCAACCCACTCACTCCCCACCCGCCCTTCCAACGAGGCAGGACTTCATAGCACAGGTGGAGCGGCAGAGGGTGCCAGTGCAGTGCAGCTTCTCGGCTTCTGCCTGCCCGCCAACCACCCCTTTCCCTCTCCCTTCCAATCCCCCCCTCCTTCTCTACCTCCCTCTGCCCCCCATTCCCGCGTACCCACTCACTCGCACAACCTGCCCTTGCAACCACCAGGCAGGATTTCATAGCACAGGTGGAGCGGCAGGGCGTGCCCGTGCAGACGCTGGGTCCCTGCCTGCCCGCCTCCGACCCCGGCCACGCCTCGCCAGCCGAGGTGCAGCGCCGGCTGTGCTCGCACCGCTTTGCACTGCTGTTTGAGGAGCTGGCGCCGCTTCACGTCATGTCGCCGCACTTCTGGGCCGCGCTGGCGTGCGGCACCGTGCCCCTCGTGGTGGCCAAGGGCAGCATTGCGCTCTTCTCCCCCGCTGACAACGCCTTCCTGCAGGTGCTGCCCTCATCATTACGAAATCTAAAAAGCCAACAGTGTCTTAGTCCTTCCTGCACGTGTCACACCTGTCACGTGCTGTCGTCCCTTCTCCCTTGGTGAAGCGTGCCAATCCTTTCCAATCTTTCTCACTGCTCGCCACTTTTTTATGTTTTGTTGCTTCGGACATGAATGCGAGTCTGACTTTCCTCCCCTCCCTCCCTCTCTCCTTCGCACACCTGGGCAGGTGGGGCGGGGGGACGAGGTGCGGCAGGTGGGGGAGTGGGCGGGGTACCTGCAGCAGTCGCAGCGCGCCTACAGCGACATGACGCGGTGGAAGGCCGACGTGCCCTCCGATGCCTTCCTCGCCCTCCTCGACCTCTCCATCGTCCCGCCCCACTGCCGCCTCTGCATTCACCTCGCCACCAAGGTGTGTCCTTCCCCCGGCGGGGAACCCCCGCCACACATTGTGCCGCACCACGGCGTAAACCTAGACCGCACGCGTTACGTCGTCTTTTAGTGCTCGACATCCATCTCTTGGTTTCTTTCTCTGTCGCTCTGCTGTTAGCCATGCAGGCCTGAACGTCTTCTCCAACTCACTGCTGTGAACCTGTTTTCTCATTTCATATGGGCATCATGGCAATGGCGCTGGGGACATGGTTTTGGGCACATGATATTGGGCACATAACACAACATTCCCCACATGAATGGCAGCAACTAGTGGCGTGGGATGAGAGCAGCACGCGGAAGGTGTGTCGGTGCTGGGAGGAGGCGTCCAACACCACTGTCTACCACCTCTACGTGCGCGAGCGCAGCACCTTCTCCTTCCACTCCCTCTTCCTCAAGTAAGCCCCTCCATCTCCCTCTCCCTCTCCACCATCCCCACCCTCTCCACCATCCCCACCCTCTCCACCATCCCCACCCTCTCCACCATTCTCCCTCTCCACCATCCTCCCTCTCCACCATCCCCACCCTCTCCACCATCCTCCCTCTCCACCATCCTCCCTCTCCACCATCCCCACCCTCTCCACCATCCCCACCCTCTCCACCATCCCCACCCTCTCCACCATCCCCACCCTCTCCACCATCCCCACCCTCTCCACCATCCCCACCCTCTCCACCATCCCCACCCTCTCCACCATCCCCACCCTCTCCACCATCCCCACCCTCTCCACCATCCCCACCCTCTCCACCATCCCCACCCTCTCCACCATCCCCACCCTCTCCACCATCCCCACCATCCCCCGTGCCCACTATCTCCTCTCACATGGTTCGGCAGCGTCTTTCTCAAGCACAAACTCTAAGAACGCTCACTGGCACATTAGCAGCCTAGCTTACACAGTGAGCATATATGCATACATGCATGCATCACACGCAGGACATGTATGGAATAGTCTCATGTATCCTTAACGAGGGCCACTTCTTTGGCTGTGATTCTCTTATGTGCTCTGCTTCTTGCCTCCTAATCAATTTCTCATTCTCTCTTTTTCCCTCCCCTCGACTTCCTCCCCTCTTTTTTTTTTTACCGCCCTCATTCCCGCCGCTCCACCCTGCAAGTCTTCAGAGCTCACCATGGAGCACCTCATGAGGGCCATCTACCGCCTCTACCACCACATGGTTCCCCCCCTTTCCTCCCCCACTCCCTCCACCCGCCCACTCCCGCCACCCCCCCGCACAGGTCATCAGAGCTCACCATGGCGCACCTAGTACCGCCTCTACCACCACATGGGTCCCCTCCCTTCACCCGCCCACTCCTTCCAACCCCCTCCCCCACCCTCCCCCCGCCCGCCACCCCCCCGCACAGGTCATCAGAGCTCACCATGGCGCACCTAGTACCGCCTCTACCACCACATGGGTCCCCTCCCCTCACCCGCCCACTCCTTCCAACCCCCTCCCCCACTCTCCCCCCGCCCGCCACCCCCCTGCACAGGTCATTAGAGCTCACCATGGCGCACCTAGTACCGCCTCTACCACCACATGGGTCCCCTCCCTTCACCCGCCCACTCCTTCCAACCCCCTCCCCCACCCTCCCCCCCGCCCGCCACCCCCCCGTGCAGGTCATCAGAGCTCACCATGGCGCACCTAGTACCGCCTCTACCACCACATGGGTCCCCTCCCTTCACCCGCCCACTCCTTCCAACCCCCTCCCCCACCCTCCCCCCGCCCGCCACTCCTCTGCACAGGTCATCAGAGCTCACCATGGCGCACCTAGTACGGGCCATCTACCGCCTCTACCACCGCCTCGACTACCGCCCCCTCTGGCACGGCCACCGCCCCGACGCGCTGGCAGCGGGCGGGGCGGCAGCGGTGCGCGTGCTGCGGGTGTACCCGGTGGAGTCCTCACAGGAGATGGTGCTGCACGGGTCGGGCGCCTTCCGCCGCGACCGCCAGCTGCAGGACTTTGTGGAGGCCACGCCGTGCCCGCGCCTTGAAGTCATCCTTGTCTGATGGTCCTTGGAGTTATCCTCATGTGATGCTCTTTGCTGAGAGAGCTGCCTTGTGAGACGACTCAAAGGGCCTTCCGCCAGCTGCAGGCCTTTGTAGAGGCCGTGCCCGCGCCTTGAAGTAATTCTTGTGTGAGGCCCTCAGATTGGTTTGAGGGCATGCTGATGGATCAGCGTGCCCTGCCCTAACTCCTGTCCAGATCAGCGATGAAGGTTAACTTCATGCTGATTTTGCCAGTGTTATTTTCCGGGGTAGTCGACACCATCCCGCCAGTGTTAACTCCTAAACGTAAACATAAACATTAAACTGGCACATCAGTGCTATAGTCTGTGCCAAGCTGAAATGTTGGTGCAAGGTTCAACTTCATACCTCATGTATAACAATAGCATAGCAGAGCAGAGCACCACAACAACAGTAGTTGCCATCATCATCTCCACCTCCATCACCATCATTCTCACTGTCACTGCTAGCACAAGAATCCATGCTCTCATGCTCTTGCACCACCCGACGGCCACTCCCCCTAACACAATTGGCCACGGCGTGCTCCTTGCGCTTGCTGGGCCGCCTCTCCTTTGTGCTCAACGCCATCAAGTCGCTCAGCTTGGTGTTACAGAGATTCGTCCTCTGCCAACTTTTCATCACATTCTGGCGGGAGAACTCGTGTTCGCACTCGACTGTGCTGATGGGAAGCACAGCCACGGCAGCCCATAGTCGGACGAGGTGGGGGTAGCTGCGGGACCAGTCGCCCGTCCCCAAGATGGCCGACAGGCCGGCATGAACGTTTGCTCCTCCTTTGGGAGCGGAGGCGAGAACAGGCAACAACGTGTGCAGCACCGCACGAGCAGGCTTCTTCTCGACACCTGCCACACACAGACAGAGAAGGCGTAGGTGTTTTTAGACACACAAGCAGCATAAGAGTGTTAAACGGGACTGTATTCGCACACAAATATAGCGGGACGCGGGGGAGCTAAGGAATTCTCACCAGGTAAGATCGCCTCTCTCTCCCTGGCTTGGAAGAGGTGGATGAGGCCGTGCAGGTGCGTCTTGCAGTCTGTGTCTCTTGCCTCCACGCCCCTCGGCCATGTGGGGGGCATGAAGAGCTTCGCCTCGTTCAAGCACGTGAGGTCCCCCAAGCGCAGCTCGATGTTGTAAATAAGTTCGCGCGCGAAGGAGCGGCATGTGGTAATGCACCCTTGCATATCGCCGTGGCTCGTGGTGTATCCGAGCAGAGACTCCTCGTGCAGGGTGAAGTGATGCACGCAGGGCTGACCATCACTGTCCACGCCTTCCACTGTCAATTCACGGCTGCAGGACGCGCCGTGAAAGCTGACAACAGCGTGATGGCTCCTCCGCCAAACTGTTGTCCGCATTCAATGTACCGCTGCTCAATGAAGATGACGGTGCGTCGTACTTGTGAGTTGACACCAGTGAGGCCAACCTAATGTAGTTGGGGGCACAGATAAGAAACAACAATGAGTAACATGCTGATGTAGTTGGGGGCACAGATAAGAAACAACAATGAGTAACAACCTGATGTAGTTGGGGGCACAGATAAGAAACAACAACAATGAGTAACATGAAAGAGAACTACAGCATTAAGAACCAGAACAACAGCTCATCTCTCGTCGCTGCCTACGTTGCCTGCGCTGCCTGCATCCGCCCTGCCCGCGCCGCCTGCAACTGTGCTGCCCGTACTGCCTTTGCGCTGCCCGCTGCTGCGCTGCTTTGAGCGCTGCCCACGCACAACCAGCTCGCCACGCGCTGCTCTACCGCCCTGCAACGCCCTGCCCTACGCGCTGCCCTGTGCTGCCCTTCGCGCGCCCTGCCTTCGCTGCCCCTGCTGCCCAGCACTGTCGCCGGTGCTGCTGCCCTGTCTAGCGCGGCCGCCTGCTGCTGCTGCCCTGCCTGTGCCGCTGCTGCTGCCGCCGCTGCTGCTGCTGCTGCTGCTGCTGCTGCTGCTGCTGCTGCTGCTGCTGCTGCTGCTGCTGCTGCTGCTGCTGCTGCTACTGCTGCTACTGCTACTGCTGCTACTGCCTGCTATGGCTACCATTACTGTCCTTACCTTTGACGCGGAGGGTCACCCGATTCAGTTTGACTCCTGGCTAGAGGATCTTGTTAGAAACTTAGAACTGAACGAGAATGGGATGAACTAGGCAGCAGGGTGATACAAATAGGAAACCCTAGCAATGTTGTACTCTCTAAGGCTAAACCCACTATAGCCTACACAATATAAACATGTATACTGTTTGACACACCCCCATAGGCGAAGTGGGAGACAACCAGATGGTCACAAGACCAGTCAAAGCAAATCAAAGCAAGCTCAGGGTGGATCTCAAGGAAACCACACAAATTCCGAGCACAAGCAAGCGGTCACAAGACCAGTTCACATGCAGTTTGATAATATAACAAGAGGTACAGTGATCACAACCTAGCAAGTGTAAGCATGCAGGTATATATATATAGAGATCACAGTACAAGCAGAGTCAAGAAGTAAGCAAGTGAGGCACAGTAGGCACAAGGCCTAGAACAGTACAGAAACGCTGATGATCACAAGGCTGAAGCGCCTTGGTAAACACATCAGCAGTGTTGGCCCGAGTGGCCACGTAAGCAAGACGAAGCTGACCACGCTGCCGCAACTCTCGAGCAAGGAAGTAGCGCAGAGCGATGTGCTTCGTTCTGTGCTCCAGTCTGTGCTCCTGACACAAGGCAATCATGGCCTTGTTGTCGACGTACAGAACTGGAGGAGAACGAGGCGGCTCTCCAAGGTCAGTCAACAGGTAGGTGAGCCAGCGTAACTCCTGTGCAGCCATGGCCCCTGCGTAGATCTCAGCCTCACAACTGGAGCTGAGAACAGAAGACGAGCGGGTAGACCGCCAAGAAACAGAGCCGGAGCCAAGGCTGAAGGTGTAACCCTGTGACGACCGCTGCGTAGTCAAGTCGTCAGCCCAAGAAGCGTCAGCGTGACCAGTGAGGACAACTCGAGCTCGTCCTCCAAGCACGAGCCCCATGCCCGACGTACTGCACAAGTAGCGCAACACCCTCTTAGCGGCATCCATGTGCTCCTTCCGGTGACGGCCAGGAGCGACATAGCGTGCTAGGATGCTAAGAGGGTATGCAAGGTCAGGTCGAGTGCAGGTCATCAGGTACATGAGGCAGCCCACAAGCTCTGGGTACGGGCCACTCGGCTCTACGGACTCGTCCGAAGGTGGAGCTGAGAGCGAGTGACCGGTAGGGAGAAGAGTGGACTGAGGCGAGGAGTACGTGAAGCGGAAGCGCTGAAGGACCTGTTGCACCATGTGTGACTTAGTCAAGGTGATGGTGCACTGTGCTCTGTCCCGGGTGATCCGCAAGCCAAGATAGCTTGTCAACTCACCCAGGTCTGTGCACGTGTATCTCTTCTGCAGTTCCGACTTCACGTGGGCGAGTGCCTCAGTGTCAGCAGTAGCAAAGACCAAGTCGTCGACGTACACGAGAACGTAGAACGGCGGCAGAGTGGTGTCGGTGCGTAGAAACAGCGACGGGTCAGCAGTAGAAGGAGCAAACCCAAGAGCAGCAAGAGTAGTCCTCAGTGTGTCGTGCCACTCACAGGGTGCCTGGCGGAGACCGTAGACTGGCCGCCGGAGGCTCCACTGGGTACCAGGAGGAAACGACCCAGTGAAGCCAGGTGGGCGGCGCAGCCAGATCTCCTCGTGCAGGCTGCCCTGTAGGAAAGTAGTGCTGAAGTCAAGAGAGTGAAGCTCGTAGTCACGCTGAGCGGCGATGTGCAGCAGAACCCGAAGAGTGGTCATCTTCGGGGTAGGGGAGAAGGTCTGGAAGAAGTCAACTCCCTCTCGCTGACTGAAGCCTCGTGCAACGTAACGCGCCTTGAAGACAGGCGGAGAACCTGGCGGCCGCTTCACCCTGAAAATCCACATGCCACTGACGATGTTCGCCCCAGGCGGGGGAACCTCGTCGACGTAGGTGCCTGTGGACTTCCAGGAAGCCATCTCTGCGTCCATGGCTGTCTGCCACTGAGAGGAGTAGGGACCCTCTATCGCCTCTGCGTAAGAGCGCGTGGTCGGGATGTCTGGTGCATCCGGGTCTCCCTCAGGGGCAAGCAGCATGGAAACGAGATGAGGTAAAGCAGCGGCAAAGCACTCAAACTCCTCCTGTCTGTCCTCAAGGACGTCCGTGCCAAGAGCACACTCACCCCCGATAGACGGAGGACAGACAGACTCAGACTCAGCAACAAGGCTAGCGGCGTAGTCTAGACGACAGGCGGCAGCAAAGTCAACAAGCTCAGCGACTAGAGCAGACGCAGCAGAGGACTCAAAGGTAGGGTCAGTGACAACAGTGGCGAGGAAGCGCGTGACAGTATTTCTGGCAGCACGAAGGGAGTCAGACTCCGGGTCTGTACCGTCAGAAAGAGAGGACGCAGGAGGAGACGGCAGAGGGACACGCTGTGGAGCAGTGGAAGGACGCAGAGTCATATAGTGAGTGCCAAGTACAGGAGGAGGACGCTGACGCGGAGCACGATGACCAGCGCGGACAGCGCGGGCAGACGACTCTGGACGAGACTCAGATGACGCAGGACGAGACTCAGGCGACGCAGGACGAGACTCAGGCTCACGACGCTCCGTAAGACCTCTAGTCGGCCCAGCGTAAGGAGAAGGACCAGGAAGCGAAGAGGCAAGCGGTAACTGTGACTGCGACTGGACAGGTGGTGGACTCAGTAGGGGAGGAGTAGGACCAGTAGAGGGCGGGAGGTCAAGAACCTGCTGAAGGAGCGGAACGTAGTACGGCCGCGGCCGCGCAGCACCTCCTGAACCAGCAGAGACAGCACCAGCACCCTCAGCCCCAGGGTCTTCAGCTACAACTCCCGCAGCACCACCAGCAGCTCCAGCAGCTCCAGTAACTCCAGCTCCAACCCCCGCAGCGGCTCCAGTCCCAGCGGCTCCAGCAGCTCCAGCACCAGCAGTGCCTCCAGCAGCTCCAACACCAGCAGCACCTCCAGCAGCACCAGC